AACGTACCTAACCTAAAGTTTCACCAGAGTTGACCTCAGTCTGGTTGCTTTTGCCCAGGTTGCCACAGAAACAAGCAACGTCTGTTTGTGTCTGATATGTTATGAAGGAATCTCGAAACGGGGATCGCCATGAATTATAAAACATGGGTTACATAAGTTCGCAGCAGCTTTAACTCGGTCTCAACACTGTAATTGGATGTCGAGATCAGTCTTGGAAAAGTAGAGAAATCGACCAGTCAGAAGAGGAAATTAAAAGAGGTCTATAAATCCTTACTGCTCTTTCAGTGATTACGAGTCACAAAGAATTTACGGCTCAACAAGTTCTTGACCTCTTCTTCAAGAAGGAGCAACAACAGGGCTGATAATTTGACATGTAATAATTTCATGTTCAAAGAGCCAGCACATACCTACTGTAGAGGTAAGCCTGAGCAACTGGAAAAGACCTTGATAGCTCCCTCCAAGCTACAGTGACCGAAAATTCACACCCAGAAGAACCAGAAACAAGAGCATGGAAGAAATGAGACGCAGCTTCTGTTCCTTCAAAACAAAACAAAAATGTTGTGACTTTGCATGATTTTTACCCACTGCAATGACTAAGAAGTAGATTGCATTAGCTTTTACTTTCTGTTTAGATGTTAATTAATGTGTAGTTCATGTTCTTCAGCTGGTTATTGCAGCTGTGGAGCTTTTTGATTATAGATTTCATGCAGTACTGTAGTTCAATAGTGTCTCCAATAGATTATCGTCCTTTAAATGTTTTAATCAAAGTTTTTACTAATGGTTATGGTTTTATAATTTATTTTGTTCAAACAAGTGGTTTAAAGCCTATAAATATTCATATAATTATATATTCATTGTGTATGTGTTGCACTAATAATTATAAGCATCTGTGATGTACAGTGAAACAAAACAGTAAAGGAAATAAAAGGGAATAAAGTCCTTTTGTTGAGGATTTAATGTCAATATTTCTTATGGAGGAAATTATACTCAACTCAAACAGTGAAAATAATTGATTATCAGCATTATTTATTGGTTGAGTAACTTGATTTGGACCGGGTTTACCAGGCAGAGATACAGGTTTTTGACCAGCATGGTGCACTGAGAGCAGCAGCTGTTGTTGTTATCATTCTGGATCAATGCACCGGTCCAGGACCTGATGTCTCTGTCCTATAACTTCCACATCTGGGCCCAAAGCTGTATTTAAGGTGTCATGTGCATTCATGTTGAGAACCTCTGTCCGTGCAGAGGCTAAACCAACGAATTTCTTCTCCATATGTTGTGCCAACAACTCTGCAGAACAATATTTTTGTAAAAATCCTTTATTTTCAGCACTGACTAATTCTGAATGTATGCACGGGGACATTTGTGTTGATTTGTTGTAAATATTCAAACTGCACTGTGCTGTGCTCATGAAAAACACCTTTTTATCTGAACGAATTCATTAAATTAGCTTCAATAAGTCCCACAGCTTCAAACGTTAACCCGAAGACACGCAGTTCTCTGTGATTTTCATGGATCCAGACCGTGCACAATCCAACGAGACCAATATTAAATCTTTAAAGCCCAATGTGGACATTTTGAACTTCAGCTTCCCGTCGTCACAGACTTTGTTCTCTACAAATATATAACTGTCATAAACAGAGCTTAGATGTTTGGCCTCATTATTGCTAATAAGGGTACGTTTGTCTTTTCGTCCTGAGTATTTCTTCCCATCATGTCACAGTATTTAAACTGGACTTTATTTGTTGTTTACCAAAACCAAAAGTGCCAATTTTGTGAAGGGATAAAGAAACTCCCTCAAGTAACTTTTTGTTATAGATCAATATGATATATATATATACATTTTTTTATTTAAATTTCTAAATTTATATTGATTCCTAAATAGATCAGTATGTGTTCAAAAATCCTACCAGTTGTTAAACTTTTTTTTTTCTAATTTGGCAACATCTTGAAAAAGTGTCGCTACATCACAGTCAGAATAAGCATTATGTTTTCAAGAGTCTGTTACTCCGCGTGCGAAACACCTGCATTTTTTAATTAATTCCACAGAGACGCAAAGATTTATTTTGTTGCCTAAAAATGTGAGACCATTGCATTATTGTCTGATGCATGCTTACAAAAAAAATATATCATTAAAGCACATTTAAAACCAACCGCTTTCAACCAAAGTGCTGTAAATCTAATTTTGAGTAGATAATACAAAGGCACAAAGAATAAAAAGCATTACAGTGGTGGAAACATTTCTACTCCCACACCGAGTTAAAAGCTGATGATTATAAATCTACAACCTGTCTACAACAGGAACGGCCCGATCACCTCTGCACCAGTCTGAACCGCAGGATGACTAAAAGCAAACGATCATTAGACCTAAGAGATCTGGAGAGAACATAAAGCTGCCGGAGGTCAGACAAATACTCAGGAGCTTGTCCGTTCAGTGCCTTAGATGTGTCAACTATTCAACTTTTAAATCCTCAAACTAACAAGGATCCCATCATGAAGCCAGCCCAGAAGAAATGTGTTCATTGTTTCCTTGTTCATGTTGAAACTGAGCTGCAGGGCTCTGAATCAGCTGCAGTCACGAGAAGCAGGTCCAACTAACGGTGACAAACCATTCCAACAATCACAATGTAGTCAAAAGCATGACTCTCTTTTTTAAATGAGCAAACCAATATTTTAGATTTCAAAAAAGGCTTCTTTGAAACTCAAATAATGCTTCTCGAACTTGATATTAGAATCAACAAATACACCCAAATATTTGGTGAGTTATTTAATTTCTATTGTTTTGTTTTATTATTATTATTCATTTTAAGGTTCAAGGTTCTTATAGGAGTCAACAAGTGCTTTTCGGTCAACGTATGATGACTTGCATTATATCTTTTATAAAAATTAGGACTTTTAAAAGAGATTTTCTTGGTTAAAATAAAGTCCAATGACGCGCGACATGGTGTTTTGATGTGTTATTTTAATAAAATTACAAAACTTTCTATGGAAAAGCAAAACATAATAGTCATCAAAGTTCATGCTCAATAATCCAGGCATAAAATCCAACAGTGTTCAGTCAAGTCAACTGGACGGTTTCTTTTTTTAAGCCGAGACGTTTCATCCTTCATCCAAAGGACTTCTTCGACCTGAGTTCTCGATCTTGGTGGCTCCTGACCTGACTGAACATTGTTAAAAACATAATAATCTTCCAAAAATATGTATTATTTTTTCTTTCGGTTGCTCCATTCTTCAGGAGTAAAAGCAGTGAACTAACTCACACGATGCCGTTCATGACGCAACCACAGACCACTGAGCTGCCACAGCCCTCTGTGTGGAGCAGAGAGCTGCTATCTATGGCGCGCGGGGGAGTTGATGGTGGGGGTTCAGGGCCTTGCATAAGGGCCCAGAGTGGGGCAAACGAGGGTGGAGGCAGGTGTGGGTGCTGCACCTTTCCCACCCACATTTTGAAGTTGTCTGTACAGGGGATCAAACCAGCAACCTTCCAATCATGAGCTCACCTTCTCTAACCTCTGCCCTTCTCCCTCCCCCTGCCCCTTTATAATCTTTAAAAATACATTTCTTAATGAAATTAACTGTTTAACAGCTGTAATGTTAAACTGATTTAATATTTAGACGATTAGCATTAAAGAAACGCATACAATGACAGGAATTACATCTATTAATAACTAGTAGTTTAGGTTATGGGCTCTTTACATTCATATTTTAATTTTTTTTTTATTATTACTTTTAAATAGAGTAGATGAACATGTATGCTAAAAAATGCTGGAAGATTTGACCTTCAAGCTCCACTGATTAGCTTTGCGGTAATGCTCCTTTACGTGGTGTAATCTCTCCGGTTCTGTGACCTGCATGTAGAGCTGGGAGTACAAAACGTTCATCGTTCTGCATGACCGGAGGACGAAACGCTGCCGCGCTGCTGTGGCTGCTCTCTAACACCTGCAACATCCAACATGGCTTCAAACTGAAGAAAACGAGAAAACACCAGCAGCAAACAGGCCATTAAAAAAGAACTGTTCCCTCTTAAACGAGTAGAGGTTCTGAACTCTGAAGAGATGATTAGAAGCTGCTGGAAACACTCATAAGCAAAGAAATCCAAACAGTTTGCTGAATATATTCAACACTCAAAGAAAGAAAACCACCGACTTTGACCTGAAAATAAAGCGTTTGACTGAATTTAAGCCTGAAAGTGGGAAATTACGTTGAACCACAAAACCAGAGTTCTTCCCAGTCCAGTCCAACGTGCCACAGGGGATCGCAGGAAATAACAAAAAGTTGCAGAAGGGAAAATGAAAAACGTGACACGAGGGAGCAATGCATGGTGGCCGTGGTTGGGGATATTAAAGACATGGGGAAATGATGCCAAGTTCCACCTCTTCATCTTCTTTTACAAAGTTGTCCTCATGGGCCCTGGCAAGTTTAAAAATAGAGCTTGTCTAATAGAGAAGAGGGCCGAGGGGGGGTGGTGGAGGGAGGGGGAGTAGCAAAAGGCTCTGGAAGAGTCCTCTGTGGTTGGAGAATGCAATTTGAGATTGGCCAGATTGCTTTTTATTCCTCCTTTCTTCTCCCCGTCGACCCCTCACGAGGTGCGATATGCACCTGCGAGGTCCCTAAGCCGCAATAAGTCTGACGCCAGTCACCACGCCACCGCCGAGGAGCCGCCGCCGCGCTCGCAGCACGAGAAAATCAGCACGGTGAAATAAAAGAGGGACTCAGGGAAAGATCAGCGGGGAGTTGTGAGGGATAGACGAGGGAGAAAAGGGTGAACAGATGAAGGAGGGGGCTTCAGGAGGGTTTTGGTTGGGATATGGCAGAAATGTAAATGCACTTCAGTCGTCCATGGCTTTGTGTTGTCTCTGGAGATGCACTGCCACGGGGCTTTTTGATGAACCTGTTGTTCAGAATTAATCTTGGTGAATCGCTGCGCGGAAGTCAGAATCTCTTTTAATTGAACTCAGATCACATGTTTTGTTTTTGTTTTTTTTGTCTGTCACTTTTAGGAGGAGAGGGTTCAGCGGAGAACGGGCAGAAGGAGACGTCCACCTGTGACATTTGTCAGTTCGGGGCAGAGTGCGATGTGGACGCAGAAGATGTCTGGTCAGTTTGTACACAAAGTAAACGCTTTACATATCAACAACAAAGGTTCAGTCATGTCATCTGGACCATTTTCTTTAAGTAAGAAACGTTTCATCTCCCATCTGCGGCCTGCCAGCCAGATCTGTCCCTTAGCCTGGTACTACCTAGGTACTGGTTCTTAGGTACTCTGTGAGTAGCAAGTTGGCAATCTGACCTAAAATATTTGATCGTTATACATGATGATTGATTGTTTTGGATGGATGTGTCCTTTTGCATGTGTGCAAAGCATTCTTCTGAGATTCCAACAGGAGGTTGGCTTGAAACACAGCAGTGAAGGCTACCTATGGGACAGATCTGGTCGGCAGACCACAGACTGACAGTCTTCTGAATGGGAGACGAAACGTTTCTCACTTAAAGAAACTGGTCCAGATGACATGATTTAACCTTTTTTGTTGTTCTCTACCTGGATGATTGAGCTTACAAAGCTTTGTCAGCTTATTTCTGCTCATACCGCTTGTTATTTTAACTCTTTTCCACGACTCCAGGTTATTTTTTTGAATCATACATTTGCAGCATTGGTCACTTTGTACCCAGACACTTAAGGTACAAAAGCAAGCTGTCTGTCAAAGGTCTCATCATATCCATTTTCGTCTGCTTTGTACTCACCTTGGTAGCTGATCTTAAAGAAAAGCAGATTAGAAGCTGTTTTAATAATATATAGTTTTCTGAATAAGTCTGGATCATAAATAAATAAATAAATAAAAAACACGTAAGTGTGCAGATAGTAAAATTATGCGTTGAGCTCATATGTTAAAAGCTAGTTTGTGTTTGGTCTGAGTTTTCTACTGGCAACATGTTGAGTCTGTGCCTTGTTTGTGTATTTTGTTCACCATGAATCAGCCATTACAGGAATAGAAGTTTCTATTTTTGATGGAAAAAGAAGATGGATTCTTATCCATCTGCCAGCATTAATAAACAAAATGAATCGATGCAAAATAATACACATCATTTTGTACTGTATGTCCATCCATCATCCATCCATAACCTGCCACATATATTTTATACACCACAACAGAGCAGTTTCTCAAAATAGGAATATAATACTGGTGTCTGCAATCATAAATATAGTCAATAATATTGTTGTTTTTTAAATAAGGCACAGCTTGATCCTGTGAAGAGCAAGCATGGAGCTGGTGCCTATAATAATATGGGTATTATTGAATGCAGGGATGTGTGCATACAGTAGTGGTAGACTGGTGGAAACTAGTCAATGACACCCAAAGTGCAAGAAAATAGCTGTAGTTGCAACATAGCAACCAACGAGCTATGTGGCCATGTTTAGTCACCTTTATTTAGTACAACTTTTTTATGTGCATGGATTGTAAAATTGTATTCTAAGCCGTGCAAATTATTTGGTTGCCCAAACTGGATTTGCTTTGTACCCAACATGGCAGCTGTCCCCATGTTTATAATTTAATCTACCGGTGTACACTTTTGAATGAAGATAGGCTCATTTGGACTAGATTTTTTAGATCTCTTATGTAGCATCAATGTGGTTTTGGGACCTGAACAATCAGGGCTGTAGCCCCGGGTGTTTTCTGTTTTAAGGATGGATACCATGCAGGTGTCAAAATGCAGCTCTAGTTAGATACATATGCAGATTGCCCTATCAATCCTCACAATAGGGGTTCGTTAAGGTCTTTGTTTGTTTGATGTGCATTGTACTTCACCAGCTTTTAGAGTTTATGAAAACCAAAATGAGAAGTATTTGAGACATCTGCAACACTTCTGTGAGTATCTTGAAAGAAAATCTGTCACACAAATGTTTGGAACATGTTCAGAATTCAGATGATAATATTGCAAGCCTCTTGGTTACAGGAGGAATTTAGGAATCTGTTCAATTGGTATAAAGAACATTTTGGAGACTCAAAGCCCATCAACAATTAGTCGTAACCAGTTACAGCAGTGAGTTACCTTAAATGGATGCGTGCAGTTATTGTACTTGATTGTTACAAAGCTTCAGCAATTAAGTACAAAATGAAACGGTGCAGTTTCCTGAAGTACTAATTGACCAACACCTGTTTCAACATTTTGATATTGGTAAGTTTTTACACAAAAATGAAAAGCAGATGTCTTTATCCTGCACACACCCACCCGTGAACACCCAGTGAGGGTTTATTGGATGGCTGACCATTTCATTTAACCTCAATTACCAAAGCAGAGCTGGGAGAGAAAGGAGATTTTCGTTTATGCTGGAAATCCAATTACTATTCTTACAGGACTTGGCAATGTCAGACCAAAAATGACTTTGACTCGCAAAAGAAAAACTAGTTCAATGATGGAATGATGTTTGTCATAGATTTAACCATTTATTGAAGATGTAATGTGTATTTATTTATTTATTATTTTTTTTGGCTTTTTCGTTTGCGAGGACGCGGAAAAAGAAAACACCCTGAGGAGAACATAAAAACACGTCTGTGGATAAACCCAATTAAATTGAGACTCAACTGGTGAACTGTTCCTGCACCAAAATCGGTGCAATGTATGGCATGAATCAGACCCAAATGAACCAACGCTGCTGATTTGATGTGAAACATAATCAGCCGGCATCAGCAAAGGGGTAGCAGCACTTATAAAAAAATCCCAGACGTACCGCTAGAAATTAGAAGTGCCCTGAGAGTACAACTCCATCAAACTGCCTGATGTAATGGAAAGATAATGTACCCTGGTGTGCAATAACCATAATGTCAAGGAACGGCTTCATGATGCATTTTGAGTCTTGTTGCAAATACTGAACAGCTGGAGTCCACTCCGTCTGATGCCACCCACTTTAGCAAATGCACCTTAATATGCCACTAAAACACATAAATTGATTTATTGGCAATTTCTTAAACCCCAAGAGAAGAATTTATGAGATCACCGCTGGACAAAGTACAAGTCGCCGGTTTGTGCGCATCAAACTGAAAACATTAAGAAAATGGGTCTTTAATCATATTTAGCACAACCTGAAATAAAGACAATTACACGTTACACAAGACAGGAGAGAGACAGCCAACAGTGAGCAAATCAATCCAGTTAAAATAAGTATTTGACATAAATATTATAACAGACATATGAATATTTCAGTGTCCCTTCGTGTTAAACGGAAACTACAAGCGGTCTTTAATCTTTAAAAAGCCCCCAGATGTTTGGATAAGAATGCTTCTGGTGAATAATCAGGAAGGTAATTGCAACCCAACAGTGGGTGATTTCTACGAAACAGCAGCCAACAACTGCTGTTGTATGAGATTGTTTTGATTAAAATGACAGGTTATTCCAATCAGCAGCAGCTGGTTTTAATCAGACTGTCAGTTAATCACGCCGTGATTGGACACGGAGGTGACTGTAATCAGAGGCCTTCTTACTTTCACACCAAGTCCAGATTATTAAATTATTTCCTTCTGTAAGTAGATTTGAGTGAAGTTTCAAATGAAGAGTTGAGCAACTTTTTGTCCTTGCGTTCACTATCCTTGATAGGATTTTTGTTCTTAACACTGTAGTAGGAACTGTAGTGTAAGAAAAATGGTGCCAAGACATAAATTTATCCATCTCCATCTTACACCATTTATCTGTGGTCGGGTCACAGAGGCAAGTCCAAAAGAGAAACCCAGATCTCCCTCTCCCCAGCAATGTCCTCCAGCTCCTCCTGGGGGACCCCGAGGTATTCCCAGGCCAGAGAGGATATATAATTGCTCCAGCAAGTTTTAGATCTGCCCTGGGGTCTCTTCACAGTGTGACGTACCCAGATAATGTCTGAAGGGAGACATCCAGGAGGCATCTTGTTCAGATACCCGAACCTCCGCAACTGACTCTTTTCAATGCAGTGGATCAGCGGCTCTACTCCAAGCTCCCCCATGGATGACGATGCTCCGGCCCCTATCTCTAAGGCTGATCCTGACCACCTTACAAAGACAGCTCATTCTTTTGGTCATGATCCAAAACTGAAGACCAAAGGTGAAGGTTGGAGCTAAGACAGACCAGTATATCCAGAACTTTGCCTTTTGGTTCAAGTCTTTTTTCACCATGATAGACTGAAGCAACACACTCATTACTGAGGATAAGCCCTCATCCATCCATCCATCCATCCATTATCTTTACCCGCTTCTTCCTTTTCGGGTCGCGAGTGTCACTGGTGTCCATGTCCAGCAGAGCAGTCGCTGTGCGAGAGGCAGGTTACACCCTGGACAGGTCTCCAGTCCATCACAGGGACGCATAGAGACAAACAACCATTCACTTTCTCACACACACCAGGAGACAATTTAGAGTTACCAATCAGCCTAATGTGCATGTGCATGTAAGTCAGGTGGCAGGTGAGGGAGAGTGCCTGGCCATGCAGATTCCTGGCAGCATTAATTAGCTCTATGGTCATAAACCTCATAAAGAAATAATAATTTGCCAATGAGTAATGCTAAACATTACTGATTTTAAAATGTGTTTATTTTGATGTGCATCATTATACGGTTGTGGTAGAATGCATTCATTCAGTTTCAGAAACAAACTAAGACATTTCAAACTTCACAGAATTATGGGTTAAGTTTATTAACTTTTTAAATGGTAATAACAGTAATTATTGTCTGGTCTCAGATCATGAGCTTTACATCGGCCCTGCCTACAACTAAAAGTTAAAGGCAGGCGACAACGCTTTTGCTTGTGTCTGTGTTTCTTTCTTTCTTAGCAAAACATCTCAAGAACCACTCAACCAATTTAAATGAGACTTTTGGAGTCAACCACAAAAAAAAGATCAGTCGGTTTTAAAGATATTGACATAAAATCTGTTGTGGTAGCTAAGAGTCATGTCTAACACTTTTGTGCATAACATTGTCAAAGGCTACAACTTTGTAATTTCATAATATATGAAACTCTGGCATGAAAGACAGCAGAACTTTAATTTATTCAGCTTGACAAATGTTTCCCCAGAAAGAACTGTAGCTTTGTTCTTCATACACCCGTCGAAAGGCGGACATATTATGGAATATTCTTTG